TTTTTTTTTAAAAAAAAAAAAAAAAAAAAAAAAAAAAAAACTCTCAAATTTAAAAAAAAATTCCAAAAATATATTTAATACTAATAAAAATTAAGAATCAATATTGTATGACAAATTGTTTAGATAGTTTATTATGTCCTCGTTTGAATAATTGTCCACCTTCTTTTTTTGTATTTTCTATAGTTTTCGTCCATTTTAACTTTTGTTGCTCTTCTATGCCAGCCTCAACGTGTGCAACTTTTAATCTAGCTAGTCCGATCTCCTTTTGTAGATCTTCAATCATCTTCCAAATTATCACGTGATGACCACTAACTTGTTTTTGATGGCTATTATATCATCCTTCCAAACCATTATTTGTACGAGTTAGTCTAAGTGTATGACAGTTTCGTAATTATTCCACAATTTTATTTAACATTTTAGTACCCAAATTATCTGTCTCATAGGCCTCCCTATGAAATGCAAAATTAGAAGATTTAGTATAGAATTTAATAACACAGTGCAATGAGTTTTTTTTATATTTTTTTTTGTTTACTCTAAATAAAAAAATTGTTTTGCTGAAATATTCGTTTGCTGATGTATCTGATCGCTGAAATGATCGGATACAATTAAAATATACAGTGCAATTTTTTTACCATGATCCAGAGATAATCTACGAATATTTCGGCGTAAAATTGGTTTTATTTTCTTTTTCAATCATAATAGAATAAACGTTTAATGGTATTGTTTAAAATAATTTCAAGATATTGTGCTCTTGCACCATATAAACACGTATGATTTTTTTTGATTTTCAAACATTAACCATCATTCTTTTCAAACTAGGTAGATAATAAATCATATTATTTTTTCGGATCTGTGTTGAACAAAGGAAATTGGAAATAGAGTAGTGGTAAACATTTGAAAATAGTGGTAAAATAATAAACACAATTCCATAAAATAATTGAACAAAAAAAATAGAAATCAAATTTACGTAGAATTCTTCAAGAAAATCATTCAGTATACAAACTAAAGACATGTGAATTTCTGACTAACGATGGGCTTTATACTCTGACATAAAATTACACGCTACGGTTAATAAAATATATTATTATACCTGTATAATATTTATTTTTTATGAATTTTTCATTTTCATTAATTTTTAATTAGTTATTATTAAACAACCGTGACAGCTCAACAATTAATATATGCAATAATTAAATAGTATATAATACAAATTATAAATATTATTCAGATAGAGTGAACAATAGCTACTCTAAAAACTTCTCTATACTTGCTGGCGTCCCCCAAGGAAGTGACAGCGTCTTTTGTTTATTCTGTCATCATATATAACACTCCAAAATCTTTCCACGTATCACTAGGTATCTACGCTGACGACATAATAATATTGGCCGCAAACTACAACCTCCAAATAATATCTGATTTGATACAAAATAACCTTAATAAGATTCAGATATGGTCTAAAAGATGGAAAATAAAAATAAATGACTCCAAATCTTCCTTTACTATCTTTTCACTAAGACCAGAAGACCGTCTTTCAATTTTATTTAACAATAATATAATTCCAACAACCTCCGTAATCAAATACTTGGCACTAACATTCGACAAACGATTTACCTGGGTTCAACATTTTAAAAACAAATGGGAAATTCGTTAACTGAATTACTCCGTCCACTTATCCGTTTAAAATTATACACCAGTAATGAATTGTTAATTTACGAAGCTATCATTAGACCAGTGAGGTCTTATGGTATATAAGTCATATCTAGATCTGAGGCTCCGCCAAATCTTTAAACCTCAGAACTATCCAAGCTTTCTAATCCATATGCCTCTGTTAAATCGTTTCTACTCCGTGATACATCAAAAACACCAATCTTCACAGTAACTGTATGAACCCACAACTATCTTAATTGACTAAATCCCACTTCCTCTCATTTCACTCAAAGCTAATCCACCACAAAAACCTACTAACAAATCGACTCTCCTCCAGTGTAATTTTTGAAAATCCCCAAAAGAAGACCAAAAGGGGTTTGGTCTAGAGACCTGTTTGATCTATAGGACGGTACTACTGAGTACCTTCTCACTCTCTTACTTCTCGTTATTTGTATTGTCAAAATTACTTATTGTACAAATATGAAGTATAGATTGTAATTACGCTTTTTAATAAATAAAAAAAATTTTTAACATTCGATGTCAAATATTGTCTTAAGATTACATGGTAAAACCAGTCTCCAAGATAAAATAAATAATAATATTAATGAAGCGTTCGGAGTTGGTATTGAAAATGGAGAGGAGTTTGGTGGGAATATTGAAGGATTTACGAAAAACGGGAATTAAAAAAAGAAATGCGTCATTATCATATTGCAAACGTAAAACGATTCTGATCAGAGTATTAACGATTGTAGTTTCCTTTGTTGAAAAGTAATTCATCAGAAATCAATAATAAGTATATGAAAAACTGATAGTTCTTCCCGTTTTTAAAAATATCCAAAGAAAACCAAAAATGAAAAAGAACCACCTCAATACACCGACTGAATCCTGAAAATCCTACAAGATAATTCTCATCGAGTCTTTGATTTGAGTGTTATTTTGATAAACAAGTTGTTTACAGATACAAAATAAATACAAAAATAACACACTGTTAACCTTAGTTTATTATTGTTCATTATATTGTATTATGCACAGCGTTCGCAATATTTTCTGCATAGTGCATAAAACTAATGTGTTTCTAAAAGGTTTATTCGACATAGAATATTAATAACATTATACATATCTTCGGCAAATCGTTCTTAAATGTAGGTAGGTAAATACCAATGCCCCGTAAGTGCATACAGAACAAAATGTTTTACGATTATTCAATTACGGGTTAGTCATGTATAACTAATGAAGTAGGTATTCAAACGCGATACGCTATTACTGCAATTTCGTACATTATATTATACAAACAGTCCGACCGGGTCGTAAACAACACTCGGAAATTATTTATATAAACACAAATATAACGATAAAATCGACAGTGCACGTACCTCGTATATGACTCGATCGGTATATTAGTTCATGATGACGGTGCAGCGGATTTGTATTACATTGATTTCCGTGGTAAAACAGCAGTATATATGTAAAGACATTTATTGTCGGGCGAGAACAAAAGTACACTACGAGTGTACAACAGTATATGTATATATAAATCTGTACGCTTACATAGTGGTATACGGTAGGCGGAAATCGGTGAAAAACACAGGAAGTAATAATAATAATATTATTATATCATATTTTATTTTGTCAGTACGAAAGCTTCAGATTGAAATTTTGAAAAATTAATTCTTAAGTTCGATAATATATTAAAAATAATTACTGCGAATTATACAGCTAGCTATAATCGGAAACGTCGGTACTCATCCAATATCATCTATATCAGATATTGTAATAATTTTATGTTGCTGTTATATGCTATCTGAAAATGAAAATTATCTTACTTCCTCTCAAAATATTCCTTGTTCAAATTATCGTTATTTAAATCGTGACGTGTAAACAAATGGTTTTCGAAAATGCAACCGAAGTACTCGAATGGTTTTAATTTTAAGCATCGTAAGAAGAAATTACAAAATTATGGATTTTCAAAAAAAAATCAACACAACTTAATATTATTAGGCATGTTGTGGAACAAATGATATTTCAAACGAAGACCGTGGAATATTTTGGTTTACGTGGTATTTTAAAAAATAATAAAGCTTAATAATGCAGTATTTTCACTTTATCAAACCTTTTCAAACGATAAAAAATTAATCATGTACAAATTCGTAATAAATGACCAATACACTAAAACTTGAAGTACAAGAAAGGTTGCCCTTCGATTTTTACAATTACGGACCGACATATTTATGATAGACAAAAAGCGCAGAGAATAATATGTTTTCAAATTAAATTTCCTGTACAAATGGTCACTTATGCTTTTTTCATTATACAATCTATTCATCTAAAAAATAAAAAATATACGTTTTAGTATCGTCTTTTTTTATTACACAACCGGCCATTCGCCAAAAAATGAAATTCTCCTTTTTAGTATCGTTTTTAGTACTCGTTTTGTTATTTTGTGGGTGAACAAGTCGTTTAATGAAAAAAATATAAATAACAAAATTATTACAGACAATTCAATTTAAAAAGTATTATCTTTTTTTATAAATTTGTTTTTTACTATTCATATTTCAGTCTGTAATTGCCAAAAACTAAAAAAAAAAACATATTTTACCGGACTCGACCCCTTTGAGGTACGACTAACCCGTCTAGGGTTGGCCAATATTTATGAAACTAACACAAATTTTATTTTTATTTCTAGTTTTGAACTAATCCTGGATAGCCCCAACAAAAATTTAAATGTCTCCATCTATACGATAAGAATTATTCTAATATAGGATGTTTCATAAAGAACGCCAGATTTAAATTACAGGTATATTTTGTTTTGTGTGTTAGCTGACCTGTTTTTCTTATCATTATCATCTATAAACTCTCCGTAATGAAACGCTGAGAAGGTTTTATCAATTTATTTTGATTTTTTCCAGCCTCTGTTTGTAACCATCGTGCGACTAACTATTCAAGAACACGTTTTGGTTTAGTTCAGTTTCATTGAATTTAACTATCAATCGACGAACTGTTGACTTATTAGAAGCCTCACTTCAACTAATGATTCGTCTAAGATGGCGCACTGTTTCGGCGTAACTTTCATTATGACAATCAAGTCTTAAAAACCAAAACGCGTTTTTGAATAATTAGTCGCACCAGGGTAACAAATACAAGGTTATAAATAATCAAAATAAACCAATAAAACAAAATAAATTGATAAAACCTTCACAGTGTTTCATTGCGGAGAGTTTATAGATGATAATGATAAGAAAAACAAGTCAGCCAACACACAAAACCAAAAATACCTGGCAATTTAAATCCGGCATTATTAATCGGCCACCCTACGTACTCAAATACATATATAAATATATCCCTTACATCATTGGGAAATGATTTGAACGCATTTTCTATGGGCGATTGGACTCTATTCTTTCTGGAGTTAACAGATACTTATATAATTATGTTAGTTGTTCCACGTATTTTAATGTTATATTTATTTTTTTCTTGTCTTCATAGCAAAAGTATGGGATTCGTCTTTTTGTTCAATTTATGCCATCATGATTTACCATTGTCTCACGGTTTTTTGAAATTCAACTGCTGCTATGACTCGAAATAATTTATATCTACCAGTTGACTGCTATAGTCGATCTTTTCATTTTTACAAATACC